GGGGGGGGGGGGGGGGATAATATAGTGATGCTGCGGAGGAAAGCAAGTGTACGTCGTGGACAATCAGAACTTGTACTGAACTTAGCTACTGATCAGCTACTAACTAAGACGTTTCTATGGAGATGCATTACCTTTTCATGATCAGTAGAATTGTCAGAAACGTGACATTTTCCTGGTGGTGTCGTTGCTTGAAATGAATCATTTCTCACGGGTTCCACCGGCTTGGGTTCAGTCTCTTGCTTCTTGAAGGTCTTTCCTACTCTTTCTTTCTCTGTTTGACACTTTTCCACGTCACTATTACATTTCTTTTTATCTGTCATCTTTTCGTCCTACAGCAAAAGTAATCAATAATTAGTGCCAGCAGAACAAAACACAAGCAGAAAAGGCAGAATTTTAAACAAGAATGTTGCATACAATAGTGAGAATTCCTTTGCCTTTCTCCGCTCTTTTCGCATGAGTTTTATCCTCATGCTCTCTCTGCTGTCGTCGTGCTTCTTCTACTCGCTTTCTTTTCTTTTCCTTGTCATTTTTCTCTTCTTCTTCCCTCAGCCTTTTCCTTGTTATTGCATCAGCCTCCTTTTTCTTCTTTTCCTCTTCCTTCTTTTTCTTGTGTAATTCCAATTGTTTTGAATTTTCTTGCTCCAACCGTGCCCGCTCATGCTTCATTGCTTCTTTCCTCATCTTACGCTCGTTCTCTTTTTTCTCTTCCAGGCGTTTTGCAGCTTCAGCAGCTTCCAGAGCCTTCACTTTGATGTCTCTCTTTACTGTGGAATAACAGAAAACTTAGTAATTACACCAGTACTATCAAAAGGCATCCCTTGATCATGCACAAGCTTCATTTTGCATAATCTGACTTGGCATGCAGGAGAAAGGGTGGGTGGGAAAAGTTTGCATTACTGATCAAGATAAGCAAAGCTGCAAAGGTGGGGGCAGTAACACGTTGAATCTTCAAGATTGATTTTCTTTGGCTTGCAATATATCATCACAAGGGAATCCAATTCAGTGAAAGAAAACAACTATGCCTCAATCCCATGCAAGCCGAGGTCGCTTGGGGTTGGGTATATCATTTCTGATGTTGCTCCATTAAGCTCATCTATATCCAATATTATACAAAACACAAATAAAAACAAAAGGGACTAAAAGTTCTCTTACTTTCTACTGGCATATAAATCTCTATTAGGACTCACAAGACTCCTAGTAATATTGGACCTATAGTACACATACTAACATGACTAAAAACTTAATCCCAACTAATTGGTGTCACCTAAATAGAACTTTTTCATCCATCATGTCCTACTTTTCTACCTGGAAAATTCAGTGAAAGAAAAAAGCACAAATTCTCACCACCTAGTTTTGATATCTCCAGTGTATCATCAACCAAATGTGATACTCTGCTAAGAAGCTTGTTTTAGTTTTTAAATCCTCATTTATGTTCCTGTAGAATGCAAACATTAAACATCACACTAATAGCCTGTTTGGCCAAGCTTATTTTTTGCCAAAAGTGCTTTTTTTTTTTTTTTTCCAAAANAGTTTGGCCAAACACTAATTGCTGCTCAGAAGTGCTTTTCAAACAAATTAGCCAAACACAAACTGCTTCTCACCAAAAGTACTTTTGAGAAAAGCACTTTTGAAAAAAAACACTTCTCAAAATAAGCTGATTTTTGCAGCTTGGCCAAACGGGCTATAAGTAAAGATTGTTATTAACTTCTTCCTATCACACAGTGAAATACCAAAAGCAATCTTTTTGGCAGAGAAAAAGAAGAAAGAAGAAGCTAGTAGCAATCTAGATTCATCCCCCATCAACCACCACGGCACAACCAAAATAAACAGTTGAAGCCTGAAAGTGAGTAAATTCGGAGAATTATACAATGTGCTATTCTCTTACCAGAATAATGAGGTGCTATTATCACATAATCAAAGGCTAATCAGGTATTACCTTGAATACTTCTGAAAGAGCCACTAAAGCTTCAAACTTCAAACTCTCAAATTTCAGGTATAACATACTCAACGGAAAAAAAAAGATATAACATGCCTAAGGCATAGTAGAAGCATGATACTCCATAGAAGAACATAGGAGATGCTACAATGACAACCAAAGGCCAACGACCACTGGCCTTTTTCCGGAGGAAAAAAAAAAGGAGAAACCACTGAATTTTCCAATCTCCAAAATCAAAGTCCAGGGAGATCAGATTTATTGATGCAAAACACCACCAAAGTTAATTGTTTAAGTACCACGTTAAGTCATAACAGAAAACTTGATTCACTTTCATCAATATCCTACTATGCTAAGTTCTACCGAGATTAACAAATACTCCCTCCGGTCCACAATAAGTGACCAATTAGCCTTGGGCACACCCATTAAGGAAATACTAAATTTTAGACAAAAATAGTTAGTATGACTAAACTACCCTTAATTAAATGTTGCAGCATAATTTAATGTGAGGAGTAAAAGATTTTTTAGGGATACGTAAGGGTAATTTTGAAAAAACAATTGATGTTTTTCTTGATTATAGACACTTATTTTGGACCAAAATAAAAAGGCAAATTGGTCACTTATTGTGGACCGGAGGGAGTACCATTTAATGCTAGCAAGCATCCTGCCACAAAAGGTCACCAAGATTATTTACAAATTCTTTTTTTCCTCTTTTTATTTTTATAAGGATAGTTCCAAATTTTGCTATAAAAGAAGGGGAAAAATGATATTTTACCTGTACATACAGCAGCTGCTTGTTTCTGTTGGACTAGTGGTATAAATGAAGTCACATTTGAGACAATGTTGTTCTGTCTTGCCCCTTTTTCTGATAGGTTCTGTCTCTCGCTCTTAAAACTGGATTTAGATGATAACTTTTGCCTACTAGACCTCCTAAGGGATTCCTTACCTTGTTTAATTCCTTTTGCACCCATCAAAAAACTCTGTTTCACCTTTGCCCCACTCATATTTTTGAAGCTACTTCCAAGCTTTCTTTTGGCTTTATTATGATGCCCAGTGCAGCTAGCATCTGTCTTAAGAGAATCCAGACTTCCCCTAGCATGAGACCTCTCAGCTTCAGAGATTGAAGCGGGAGGATTCAGATATGAGTCAGTTACATCAGCAAGTGGTAGTCTTTTGACATGACTATTCACTACCGTTGAATCAAATTCATCACAGATTTTACCAGCCACCTCATCTGCAGCCTCATTCTCCTCACTACTATTGGGATCCTCCTCAATTGGGAAACACGTGAGCTCCGGGTTTGAGCTCAAACGCTTCTCTGAACTGGTAGAATGTGACGAGATCCTTTCCCAAAACTTTCCAACAGGAGACTGGTATTGGCTCCCTGACCTCCCTCCAAATTGACATTGGTAAGAAGATTGATAATCAGAACAAGGTATCTCCAGTTTAGAATCATTCACTTCATCCACACAGCTATAACTTGCCCTAAGCTGTTTGTTGACACCCTCCTCCGGAAACAAGGTGCTCCTCAGATCCAGGTGCTCAAGAAGCCCATTAGGTAAAGATTGATATAGATTTTGAGTATGGTGCAACCCAAAAGCAGATGTGAGATGAGATAAGGGTGTATTTGCACTAGCTGATTTGCAGATGCGCTCCAGAATGCTAGCACGCTGAATTGTTGTGCTTGGAAAGTTCAGGTTATCATAGCTGATCCCAAATTGGGCAATATCCATTTCCCCATCTGCTGTTGAGGCATCAATAATGAAACCCTCGAGCACAGGCTTAGATTGATCAGCATCGGTGATATCCAAGTCTTTATTTTGCGGAGAACTGCTAACACATGATTGGGAATATAGGCTCTGGTCTCCAGTATGAGATTTTCTCTCCAAACAAGTCACGTCTTTAGGATTATCCAACTTAACATTCTTTTCAAGGTGCAGCAAGTCTGAAATGTCTTGTTCATCAGAGGATTTTTCAGCATCAGAAAGGAGTTCATGTTCTTCTCCAGTTTCCAGTTCCTTTTCAGCTGGCTCTTTAAACAAACTTGAGACATGAGATACACGTAACAGTTTGTCATCAGAAGAGGAAGCAGATCCGAACTGTTTAAAATGTACCGCATCCTGCAGATAAGTGACATGGCAGAAATTATGTCCTAGAGGAAGTTAAGATAGCCAGCTGAATCATGGCAAAAAGATCGCAATATTATTATAAGCAAAGAAAGGATTCCTAGTTTTTTCTTTACAAGGTGCAATACAGTAGATGATCTTGGCAGTTGATCAGATTTAACAACTTGCCCCTGAAAAAATCAAACTAGACTTGAAGAAATGTGAGTCATCAAACAACCTGAAACACATTAGTCCGCCAAATGGACTTCATGACAAGCAGAATATGGCAGGACTTTACATCTTTCATGCAGTCATTAATTTGCCCTTGAGGTCACAATTGCCAAAGCAAACACACTTAACATGGATAGCTGTTTTTCGGCGCATGGTACTCCTTCCCAGATCTCTCATTCCATCCCCCCCCCCCCCCCCCCCCACACACACACACACACAAATAAAGATAATAGTCTGCTAAAAATAAAATCGGGTCTTCCTCTGTTTCTTATCCTTTATTCTCTTCTTTAATGAATCGATCTGACTTGAGCGAATATTTGTGTATTTCAAAACAATTTGTAGGTCGTCCAAACAAGAAAATATTAGTATAACTACAAAAGAGAGGTTTACTTGAAGGTCACGGCTATTATCAGCAATCAATGTGACATGTGCCCCAAACAAAAGACAGTAGATAGTGTAAAGAAATGCATGCAAAAAACCTTTGCTGTAGGTCTGCCTATAATGGAAGAGTCACAGCTATTACCAGAGTGAACATGTGCTTCAAGAAAATAGCAGTAAATGGTAAGAAGAGACATGAAGAAATCTTTCACAGTAGTTCAATTTGTAGTGCAAGATGGAAATTGCAAAATAAGATTTTGTTTCCCAGCTAAACAAATTGGAAAAAGGCAGTGCAATAGGAAATTCTTACTCCTAAACCTCGTCCCATTAAAATATTGTATACGCCAATGAAGTCAACTTGTGTATACAAAAGAATGTGAACATCATTTTAAATATGCAAGGAATAAATTCAATTTAAGTATTGTACCACTTCATTTTGCAGCTTCAACAAGGAACTAATTCCTTCTCCAAAAGAACAATTTTTCTTCTCGGATATACACACATCAGAACTCTTGGCTCTGAAAGGTGTAAGTTCCAAAACACTGTCTGATTGCTCTTGAGTGGTGTTGAAGTTTAAGCTTATAGCATCCATCTGCATGTGATAAAGCTTTGACATTTGAGAGTTTGGACAAACAGAAAAGCATTTAGTTTGCCTATCTTCAATTCTTCTCCTCTTAACTTGTGGCCACGAATCCAGCTTAGCAGATCTGAATCTTCCATCAAACAGCAAGGACTCCCTTGAATTTTCAATTTCACTTGATATGGAAAGATTGAGATTCTGCTCATCATTGCATCCAGATTGTTGAGGACTCCATGTAGGCATGTCATTCTCTTTCTGATGGGAATCCCTATCCATATCGCACTTGACACACACATCTCCATGACTACTTTCACCATCAAAACAATATAAATTTCGATCATTTGGCATACTAGACTCTCTCTTTGTATCTTGGGAAATGGAAGTCAGATCTTCAATTTCAAGTTCCTTCACCAAGCAATCCTGGGAATTGCCAGTCACCTTTTCGGCCATAGTTGAGATGTTATGTGTCGCAGCAGTTTCAGTGTTGGCAACATAAGATGCAGGTAGACAAGCATTCCTGTCACAACTGTTACCTCCCTGTCCAACCATGAGGGAAAAGTTTCAGCCTCAGATAAGCTTATAAGCAATGCATAACTTTCTATAGCTAAGCGAAAATTGAGTAATATGTCAGCAGAACATTGTTCTGCCTGGATACCACAGAAACTTTGTAAATTCTGAGTGTTTACTACTTACAAAACATAGACTACATAAAAGATCAAAAAAATTCATACAAGGAACAACGATTGGACATGCATAATAAAAGAACACGCACTAGAGTTTTTCTTACTGAAATAAAAAACTGCATTGCAAGAAAAGCAGGTTTTAAGCTCAAACAGCTTCTTCACATACCACTTCTTTTTGCAGCTTTGGCGAGGAAGGTGCTCCTTCTCTCAAATGACAGTTTATTTTCTCGGATATACCTGCATTAGAACTCTTGACTCTGAAAGGTGTATGTTCCACAACATTGTCTGATTTTTCTTGAATGGTATTGATGTTTAAGCTTATAGCATCCATATGTATCCGGTAAAGCTTTGACATTTCAGATTTTGGACAATCAGAAAAGCAGTTAGCCTGCTTATCTTCAATATTTTTCCTCTTGACTTGTGGCCATGAATCCATCTTAGAAGATCTGAATCTGCCATCAAACAACGACAGCACCTTTGCATTTTCAATATCACTTGATACGGAGAGATTGAGATTCTCATTATCATTGTGACCAGATTGTAGGGGACTAGACGTATCCAAGTCATTCTCCTTCTGATGGGAATCGCTATCAATGTTGCACTTGATGGTAACATCTCCATCACTGTTTTCACCACTAAAACAAGTTAAATTTGGATCATTTGGCATGCAAGACTGTCTCTTCGCATCTTGGGAAATGAAAGTTGGATCTTCAATTTCAAAGTTCTTTGCCAAGCAATCCTGGGAATCTCCAGTCACCTTTTTAGTCAAACTTGAGATGTAAGGTGCTGCAGCAATTTTGGTGTTGGCAACATAAGATGCAGGTAGACACTGAGCATTCCTGTCACAACTGTTACCTCCCTGTCCAGCCATGGGAGAAAAAGTTCAGACTCAGATAAGGTTGAAACCAATGCTTAACTTTCCCTTGCGAACTAAAAAATGAGTTACACGTCAGCAGAGCATTGTTCTGCCTAGATACCACAAAATTGTGTAAATTCTGTGTGTTACTACTCAAAACAAATACAAACTACATTAAAAATCCAAAAATTTCATACAGGGAATAAATTGATTGAACTTGCATAATAGAGGAGCATGTGTTAGTGCTTTTCCTTCTGAAATAAAAAGTTGTATTGCAAGAAAAGCAGGTTCTAAGCTCAAACAGCTTCTTCATGTAGCAGCCAAAAGAGGGGCCTACACCCCTAATATAAAGAAAGAGGGCAACCATCTACCTTTTCTCCACTTGACTAAAAATTGGAAAGGACTCCAAGGTGTTGCCGAATTATAGAATATCAAGTTCCTATGAGTTACTAGAGTTCCTGCCCAAACTTTGAATGCAAACAATGATGCTAGTGCCACTATTAATTTCAGAGATGACTTACACATCGTTTCTTTGTGTATCAGTCATATATGATGTAGGTCAAAACCAGTACATATCTACCAGAAATATGGCTTGAGTGTAAGTGTTTGATCACATCATGATATAGATACTCTCTTTCAAGTCTTAAGTAAGTCATCCGAATTCAGAACAAACCTAACAAACTCATAACTGAACATAGTTATAAAGAAAAGACAAAGCAAAACACACAAAAATCACCTTAATTAAGTAGTAGATGATCTTCTTTTCCGAATTATTAAATCAAAGCTACTTAATCAGATTCAGAATCTGCAGGCATCCAAAAGTTGGCAAAGTAAAACATATATGCCTACTGAAATACATAGTTCTAAAATTAGGAGCAGCAAAAAGTTTATAAATGTAACTAAATAATATACATCAATCAATTGCAGATCTATCATAAGGACGTCCCGATGCCAAATCAAGAGATCCATACACCATAAAACTGTTAATACACTCCATGATATCCAAAAATAGATAATGAAGCTAAAAAATAAAAATGTAATAATGGATATTAGGACCATATTACTTTGTCATGCAGCTTTTACCAAGATAGCCTGAAGCCAAAAAAGAATGCATGTAAGAAAAACATAAGAGTGAAACATACCACCTCTGCGTGCAGTTCTACCACAGAATTATGTGATTCTTCTAAATTGAGTTTAACATGCTGAGGCTCTGCATCATAATGACCAACATCATTTGACAGTGTCTTATCATCATGCATATAAGGAGATTGCCGAGAACATTGTCTGCCCATTGACTCATATATAGTATTCCCTGATGCAAGATGTCCATTCATGTCTGATACACAGCCATTCATTCCAGTACCAGCAGGGTCTCTGATTTTCAAAGCAAAAGAACTCCCTGGAACGTCGTCTAACTTACTTGAAATTTCCTGCTCGGGTATTGACTGTTCCCAAGAAAATCTGTTATCCACAGGGCTGCCGGACATCTTCTTTTGTGAGGTTGGTTCTAGTGAGGTATTGGAAATATCATCTGTTGGTTTCAAGCTCTTCTCCTCAAAGTTAGGAGTAAAGCTCCTCTTCAGGTTACACTTTTCCATGTCATCAAAGTGAAGTTGTTTCGGCTTCATTGACATAAAACAATCAGGTGAAGGATTGGCAACCAGACATTCCACTCCCACTTCTGGGTCAGAATTGCTGGTTCTAGACCTAAAAGTGGGAGATCCTTCCGTCGCAGCTTCAGTGTTTCCTTGCTGATTATGGGTGTCACTGTTATCAGAGCAAGGGATGATCGATTTACTGCCTGTTGGAAAATAAGTATCGTAATTTTCATTGGAAGACTTCTCTGAATCAGCAGATATAGAATGGGCACCTTCAGAACCAGCAACAGTGGAAGTTACAGGCTCTGTTGTGACTTCGTTGCCAATGTTATTTTGTGTCTTTTTGCTTTTCTGATCTGATCCAAGAGAAGGTTTAACTGACTTGAATGAACCAGGATTGTCAGATAACACTTCTGATGATCCACCAATTGCTGTAGCAAAAACATCAGTGCTCAACCTATCTGAGAATGCAGATATAGTGGCATGTGAATCATCAACCAGACAAGGCAATTTTTTGGCCATACTCTTGGATCTTGTGATCCTACCACAATAAATGTCATTCTTCTTCTTAGTTTTCAGGCAGCCTTTGACTATTGGCTTGTGAGTATTAGATGTATTAGTCTCTTCCCATGACCTACCTGACACACAACCTGTAGAGCGTGCTTGGGTATGATCATCGTTTTGAACTACGCCAGCAGAACCATCCACTTTAAGAGAATCATTTATACAGTTCAGTTGTTTGGCATTACTTCTGGACCTTGTGACTCTATTTTCAATCCCCTCATGCTGGTGTACTTCTACAAATTCCTTTAATTTGATAGCTTCACTACCAACAGGAAAAGATTCCAACAAGTGGTCTGACTTGTTGGAAAAATCAATTAGTTGAGAAGCAGAGGCAGACAAATTGATACCTTTGGAAGCAAAATTGCAGCTACGTTTGTGGCTTGAAGCTGTAGCAAAAGAGTTATCCACTTTTTTTGTATGACTTTTCTCAGCAACATCAGACAAGCTATCCACTTTTTTTGTATGACTTTTCGCACAGTCAAGTTGCTTCGCAGATGTTTCATGCTTAGAACTCTCACCAGTATGTAAATTGATGTCCCTTTCTTGACCTTCATGATTTCTTTCAGCTGATTCCCTCAACCCGCCACTACCATTACTAACTACACAAGGTTCAGACAATATCTGCAACCCATAATTGAGATTAACTCGTTCAGGAGTAGAGAGACCAATCCCTATAGAGGCAGCATCACAATTTTTCTGCTGACTGGAGCAGCCCTCCACTTCCCCTTGTGCACTATTACGAAGCTGAAGAGCCTTTTGTCTAGACTTAGACCTTTGTATTCTAGCTAGTGACCGGTCTAGATCATTACGATTGTTCTGGAATCTTGTATCTCTCTGATCTAGGGGAGAGTTAACACTTACATCAAGCTCGGGAACACCTTTCAGAGCATATTCCTGGTTATTATCATGATCTACAACTTTATTAGCTGTCCCATCTGCGTGATAAAGGCCTTTGTCGGAAGTATGAATCTCGGAGAATGTTCCATGAGACAGATCTTCGTTGTCATCTGTGACAACTGGCCTCTTGTTCAATGAGCAACGAGCACTAGCATGGCGCACAGTAGGTGGCCGTGGTCGTGGAACTAAAATTTCAGAAATCAGCTCTTCTTTGTTCAGCTCTGGAAAAAAATGAGAGAGAAGAGAGAGAGAGAGATCTAAGTGTTCCTTCAACCAAGCCAAAACATGAAACTATCGAAGTGTAGAAATTAGCAATTGAAAGTTTCAAATGTAAATTTATTAAGGGAAAAGAAGACATTTTTTTTGGTTAAATTGTGGTTTTCTTTATAATTTGGGTTTGAAAACCAGCAAGACCACAAAAAGGACATACACAAGCACATTTTAGCTGTACCGAACAGAAGAAAAAGGGGAAGAGTGAAGAAACATGAAAAACCTAAACTTATATTTTTTGTGAACGTGTGGGGCCAACTCTTAGGACCAACTACAGCCTTCGAAACTCGGGGATAATGGGACCGCTCCTCTAGCTTCTCCACTTAACTACCAGGTTCAGTTGGCATGGCGCAGGGCTCGAACCTGTGACCTAAGTCACAAGTCCCTCAACCTTTACCCCTTGAACTAAGCCCTGGGGGCACATGAAAATCCTTAACTCTTTGCTGTTCGAATTTCAAAAGTTCCATTTACAATAGATAAATGAGGTAACTTATCAATCATTATATTTATCCGGAACGATAAATACTACGCTTTTACCACGTCGTACAGTAAAAACGATTCTACTGTTGAATTTCCTACAAAAGAAAATTAATATTTAACTATGTATATGGAAGTCGAGCCAAAGGCAATGGTTGAACTGAATCCTATACTTGCATTCGCCTAATTGGGTCACAACGGAACCCTAGAAAAGTGGAACAGCAGAAATTGGCATATATATACAAGCAAAAGCTTGAAATGAAAAATTACCTTGAGGATTTGACGACTGGTGATTATTCAAGAGCCATGGAGGAGGAGTAATTCCTTCGATTATAAGTTTAGAAGCGAGGTGTTGGCTATACAGGTCGGTTTGTTGCTTGACTTGTTCGATGATCCGATTCTTCCTCTCGAAGATTTGTACGAACAGATTCTCCACCGTGGACATGTTCATCCCAAACGACACCGCATTACCGTCGAATCTACGCCGTCCGGTAACTCTGTGGAGGGGGGAGGGGGGAGTGTAGAGAGAGTGAACGTTTGAGGAAGAGGAATGGGGCGAGATCACTTTGGCGTGAGCGCGGATGGCATTTTCAAATTTTGCTGAATACCGAACGACGTCGTAGGCTCCTATCCTCAGAGTAATAAATGGCATCGGGCAAATGCTTTCTACAATTGGTATAATCCCTTACACCTTCTTTGGATGGTTGTTTCGTAATGTATTACTACTATTTTGTATTGCATATTATTATACTATAATATTTTAAATATAATATTTAAATAAATTATATAATTTAATATTATCCAATAATTGATAAGTCTTCTAAATATCCGTAATTGTTGTAAATATTTTATTTATTAATAGTTCTCATAAAAATAATTTAAGACAAAACATATTAACTTGCTAATTAGGTTCCTTCAAATCGTCTCTGTTACTATTTAAAAGAAAATATATTTTTTTGCAAATAGGAGCGAAACAAAAGAATATAAAAAGACAAATACCTTATTTTTTGTATTTATGTTTTTGTCTCGAAGCAAAATAAGTTTCTTTCATATTAAATTTCCGAAAATTTGAAGAGCAAATAAATATTTTTCTTCTTAAAAAACTATTATTTCCCACGAAGGTAAAAATATATAAATAAAATGATAAGGTAAATTTGGTTTGGAGAGGGGTTTCTTGATATCGAGGTCCGAAGGGAATTTTGAGATTGGGAATAATTCTATAATGTCATTTAAGACTTGCACGCAAAATTTGGTGTCAATCCGAATAGTCTAAGCATGATTCGACGCATCCAGAGCGATTTACAAACTTGAAGCTCAAAGTTTGATTCAATTTAGTTTTGGGGTGTGATTCTTGGTTTAGTTGATATTTTATGCGTTTCTAGAGTTCGAGCAAGTCCGTATTATGTTTATAGACTTGTTGGAGTTATTAGACGAGGTCACGAGGGGCTCGGGTGCGTTTCGGACTACCCAGAGTTGAGATGAAACACACCAGATTTGCTGCTTCTGGCTTCCTTCTTCATGAACGCGATCGCATCCTCGCGTTCGCGATGAAGGATTTGGGGTGTTGTAGCTGGGAAACTTTTGCCCTTCGCGTTCGCATGCTAAGGATCGCAATTGCGGAGGTCTGGGTCCTCTAACCTTCGCGCTCGAGTGGCCTGGCTCGCGTTCGCGCAAAGCAGGCTTAACTGGTGGCTGTTGTTGACACTTTGCGTTCGCGAAGTAGCCCTTGCGTTCGCGTAGGGTAGGCCATGTGAGCCTCCGCAATCGCGAGGCTCCTGTCGCGTTCGTGTTGAGTAAGCTTTCTGGGCCTGAACCATTTGCCTTCGCGATCCCGAGGCCTCTTCCGCGATCACGAGGCCTATTCCGCGATGCGAAGAAGGCAAACCTAGCAGTGAACTTTTTAAAAACGGGACTTAGGTCATTTTAGCTCATTTGTTCCATTGTGATGCGATTTTTAGAGCTCTTGGATAGGGGGTTTCACTTAGCACTTTGAGGTAAGTAATTTCTAAACCATGTGAGTTAAATACATAGTTTATGGGTAAATTATAGCATGTAAATTAGTGAAAATTATGGGTTTAGGTGAAAACCTAGGGTTTTGCTAAAAATGAGATTTAACCACGAATTTTGTTATGTAATTTAGTAGAAATCATATATTATGTTCCTTAGGTTATGGGTAACAACTTCCTTTAAAAAATTTCGGAATCCGAGCATGTGGGCCCGGGGGTGAATTTTATTAATCTTGCAATTTAGGTTGGGTAATCACTTAAATGGAGAAATTATGAACTTTGGAGTATAGATTGATTAGTTTATGTAATATTTGACTAGTTTCGAGTCGTTCAGCGTCAAATTTGGAGATTTGGGATTGAACTTGAAAGTAGACTTGAGACGAGATAAGTCTTCTTTCTAACCTTGTAATAGGAAAATTTCCCCATATGTGAATTGGATTATAAATAAGACTAATTGTGGGGACTACTTACGCACGAAGTGACGAGAGTCCGTGCATAGCTACTATTCTTATTATGTCAGGGTATTTTAGGTTTACACCATGCTTTGTGAACACTGTTATTTGATGAATCTGTAATAACTGGAATTAAGTTGAGAACTTCTAAGGATTTAAAGCTTCAAGTTGAATTGTTTTTTTTCTTAAAGAAAGGAATTTAAGAAAGAATTTGATTTAAATGATTAAATTTATATTTGATCGCGTCACATGAATGATTCATGAGCGGGATGAATAGATGCATCTATGGTTTGCGCTGTTCAACCCTCCGGCAGTGCACATTTTATTATTATGTTGGATCGGGCCATACGACCTCGGCATAACTTGTGCATGTTATTTATTTAGAACTTTATGTGATTTGTACTGCTTTAATGCCTTGAATGTAAATTGTTAAATGATATGACTCAAATTGACATTATATTTATGAAAGAAGAACTTGTCATTTCCTGATATTTACCGTCGGTATTTTTTTATGATTTTCATGCTTAGCATAACACTTTAATCATAATATTGTTGGCCCTAGTAAGTGTCAAGTCGACCCCTCGTCACTACTTCTTCGAGGTTAGACTGGATACTTATTGGGTACATATTGTTTATGTACTCATACTACGCTTCTATACTTAATTGTACAGGATCTAAGGTAGGCGCATCTAGTTATCCACCAGGCGCGCATACTTGATTCGGACTGAGACTTACGATGAGCTGCCCCATTTCTAGCCGTTCAGCAACATGCCGGAGTTTCTCTTTTGCTTGTATCTGTCTACTCTATTTCAGACAGTAGGATAGTCATATTTTGTATATTCTACTAGTTGCCCACACACTTGTGACACTAGATCTTGGCACATATTAATAGACTTGATTTTTGAGGTTGTATTCCTGTAATTATGATTTTTTTAGTTATTTCCGTTTTAGTTGCCTTAAAAATCCGTTAAATATCGAATGTTTTAAATTTAAGTTAAGTTAGATGTTGGGATTGTTTCATAAAATAAATGGGAACTCACTAGTTGATCAGTGTTGGCTTGCCTAACAACGGTGTTGGGTGCGATCACAACCTATAATGGAATTTGGGTCGTGACAATATGGTATCAAAGCACTAGGTTCACGTAGGTCTTACAAGTGATGGACAAACCTCATAGAGTCTTGCGGATCGGTACAGAGACGTTCGTACTTATCTTCGAGATGTTATAGGGTGTTAGGAAACTACTCTTTATTCATCTTCTATCGTGAAGTTGATGGTATACTAAATTTCCTTCTTCTATTATCTCACAGATGGTGAGGACGCGTTCGGATGACGTTCCATACCTGGAAGGAGTTGCACCCCCCCGTTACTAGAGGCAGAGGCCGGGGGAGGGCACCGACCTGAGGTAGGGGACGAGGGCATCCCAAAGTTGCCTAGTTGCACCACCAGTGGATCATGTAGATGATCTCGTTATTGAGGAGCAGGGCGAGGTGCCCACAACACAGCCAACCTCGATAGATTTTATGATAGAATTGGGCTTTCAGGAGGTCATGGGCCATATGCTGGGGTTCATGGATTCTATGACCCATGCTGGTTTATTTCCAGTAGACTCGGCCACATCTCAAGCAGCAGGGGGAGCACAGACCCCTACTACTCAGGCTCCTAGGCATGCAGTCGTAGTGTATCAGACTCCGGGCACACTACCCATGGATGGGGTCTAGCCAGTTGCAGCAGTGGCACCTGAAGCCAGACCATCTGCGGACGGCGATCATCAGAAGTTATTGGACAAATGGACTAGGCTACCCCCTCTTGTCTTCGGAGGTGAGTGTCATGAGGATGCCTAGGATTTCATTGATAGGTGCAGGGACAGACTGCACAACCTAAGGATATTTTAGTCTCATGGGGTTGGCTTCACCACTTTCCACCTTGAGGGCAGGGCCCGTAGATGGTGACAGTCTTATGTTTTTGGCAGACCAGCAGGTTCCCCTCCCATTACTTAGGGCTAGTTCACACATCTTTTCTTAGATATGTATATTCCACCCTCCGAGAGGGAAGAGTTGCGGTATCAATTTGAGCAATTTAAGTAGGGTCAGATGTCAGTGACCGACTATGAGGTGAGGTTTTCTGAGTTGTCTCTCCATGCACTCATGATACTTCCTATTGATGCAAAGAGAGTGCGGAGATTTATTGCGGGGTTGCACTCCGGTATTAGGGCTAACATGGCCCGAGAGGTTGAGATGAGGACTTCTTATCAGCTAGTAATGGAGATTACTTGGAGGATTGAGGGTTACCGTCATAGGGGTAGAGAGTAGATACAGCAAGACAAGAGGGCCCATTTTCTTGGAGAGTTCAGAGGTGCCCCGGTTAGGGGCAGAGGTCAGTTTGGGAGGGGTCAGCCTAGCAGGCCCCCATATTCAGCACCACCACCTCCTCGAGGTGCTCCAACGTGCCCCTATTTCAGCGTCATGCCAGAGAGTTCTTATCGCCTACCAGCTCATTAGGGTTCTTCTGGCGCCTCTTTTAGTGCCATGCTAGAGAGTTCATACCGCCCGTCAGCCATTCAGGGTTCTTCTAGTGGGTATTCAGGCCATCAAGGCCAGACGTTGGGACAATAGTCTAAGGTACCGAGAGGTTGTTATGAGTGTGAAGATCGGGGTCACATGAAAAGGACTTACCCCAGACTTCGGGGCAAGGTAGTGCAGTAGGGCCATCAGTCTATGATTTCAGCACCGGTTTTCCGGCCGCCCAGAGGCGAAGGGCAGGCTGGTAGGGGTCGTCCTAGATATGGAGGCCATGTAAGGGGAGTTCAGCCAGCTATTACTCAATCAGGTGGAGGCCAGCCAGCACTTCAGCTAGATTCTATGTTTTTCCGGCTAGACCAGATACGGTGGCCTCAAATGTCGTGATCACATGTATTATTTCTATCCGCGGTAGGGATGTTTCGGTATTATTTGATCCATGGTCCACCTATTCATATGTGTCATCTCTGTTTACTCATTTTCTGGATATTCCTCATGAGTCCTTGGGTACTCTTGTTTATGTGTCCACTCCTGTTGGTGATTCTGTGGTTGTGGATCAGATCTATCGGTCCTTTGTGGTTACGTTCTGTGGTTGCGAGACTAGAGAAAACCTTCTGTTACTTGATATAATTGACTTTCAGGTCAT